TCATAAGTGAAATAAATCAATCTCGCATGTGTGAATACCTAATAGTTTCCCTACTGTAAGTAATGATTCAAATATATAAAAATATGTGGTAATCATGATTCCCCATTATGTGGCCTTGAAGCCTTATAAAGTTTTCGCTTATTAATTGGACAGGCTTTATTCTGGGCTTCTTGATATGGAAATATTTGAAGCTATAGTATATGAAGTTTTATTCAAAGATTTCAAGGAAAAAGATAGACACTATGGTAACTACTATTAAGTCGGGTTATTTGGTGGTGAAGCACTAGGTTGCTGAAACAGTCATGCTTTGACCTGTATTGTTATGTTGTTATGTCCTCTTTTATCTCAGTCTCTCCCTTATTCATTAAAAAAATTATTTAGTTATTTTTTATGTTTTTTTAATTAAGGGGAAAAATTTAAAAAATTAGCAGGATACATAATAGTAACTTTTTTATTTCCTATTAACTTGTTTTGAAGTCCTTTAATACTCCCACTATCTTGTTTTAACTGATTAGACTCTGTTCCATTCCGTATGATAGTATCAAGTTTGAGGGTATAGGCAACTACTTTGAAGGCAATAAGATTCACTAAGATGCCCATCTTGGTTTGACTATTGTCTCCTTTGGAAGTCCTGTAATGTTTACAATGCTTAAGTTTTTATTGGTCTTGTTCTCTACTGTTTTGTTCAACTTTATAATATCTAATGAGATAGAGAATTCTTTTTAAGGAAACAAGAGACATTGTTGATAACCTTGTACTCTGTTTTACATCATGTGCTATGTCTTTCCTTGGTTTTGACTGACAGCTTTGTTTTGCTATATTTGACTTTATTCTCTCCCAAAAAAAATAATAAGAACTAAGGAATAATAAAACCCAAAATGTATAAATTTTGTTGTAAAAAAGAGAGACAAAAAAAGTGCTCTAAAGGATACAACTGCAAGTGTGCTTAGGGGTGTTAAATAGCTGACCATATTAATGTTTTTGGTTGAATCATTGAACACAACTGTTTGCAGTCTCACTGTTTAAATGTCCACTTTGTATGCTTTGATACTGTGATGTGAGCAACTATCTCTAAGATGATAATATGTAATCTATTAACTGGTGATTTCTTACTGGTTTTTTTTTTTTTTTTTTTTTGTAGTTCTGTATTACTTGCACCCTTACTCCGCTTTGTTTTGTTTGGTTTTTTCTCTTTTTCCTTTTAAATAAAATTTTAAAATAAAAAAAAAAAAAAAAAAAAAAAACAAAAGGAAGATAGTCTACTTGTAAAGAGGGAAAGGAAGGGAGAGGAGAAGATAAGATTGATATCTACAATGATAAGAAACAATCGAGTAAAGGGTCCTGGAAAGATGGAGAACCCATAGGCACTTTGTCCCCAGGTCCTTTTATGGGAGTGGGGGTATAAGTGACAGCATCCTTCCTGCCAACTTGACAGAACTGGATTGGTTTTTAGGGATCTCTGTCTATCTCATTTCTTCCAGTGGTCTACATATGGCCTTTTTAAAAAAAACTTGTACTTTTAAAAAATTTTTATTTAAAGAAAGACTAAACAAAACAGAAAACGAGTAGAAATAATACTTACTTTCAAAGAAAAAATAAACAGTAAGAAATCACTAGTTGACGATTATATAATGCAGGATGTAATGAACAGATACTCTGAAGAAAAAGAGACACTAAGATACTCAGTACTAATTCTGTAGCATTATGATATAAAATCTATGTTATGCCCTCTTTTATCTCAATCTCCATTTTATTATTTACTTTTTTATTTTTATCCCTTTAAGGGAAAAATAAATTAAAAAATAGCAGGATAAAAAAGATATAAAATCTAGCAACACTATTATTCACTATTCAGAGTGATATTAGTCTAGTCTCTTATGTTCAATTTCAGCGTACGTAAAGATAAGGACAGCTACTTCGAAGAGAATGAGAGACATTATGGCAGTCATTATTGACTTCCCCAATGTCAGGTCTTGAAGACCTAAAAAGCCTTCAGCATCCTGTTATGATTAGATTAGTTCTATAATGTTCACTATGTATCCAATGTGTGTGAAGATGGGGACAACTATTTGGAAGAAAACTAGAGACAGTAAGATAGCTGTCTGTGCCCTTAAATCTAGTATGAGTAGACAGACTCAAACAAAATAAAATCAAACTAACCAGAGCGATAAGACTACTGTGGCTTTTAAATCCTGATACACTATTAACAATGTCCTCTGCCTTCCTTTTTTAGGCAATTCCTCACCTTTCCCCTTCTCAGGATGCTTTGTATATTTTGGGGCCCATTGGCTCCTTTAGTTTTTAGACTAGGGGGTCAATCCTTTATCTATCTGAGTGGTGCTGAATCTTTTTACCCCTGAGCTTGATCTTGAGCTGTATTCCTTTACTTACTAAAGCCACAAGGTTTTCCTTCCTTCTAGCTGTGTAGTTCTACACTGCACAAAAATGTCAAAACTTTCCAACCTATTTGCAGCTGCTGGGTGAGTTGTCCCTATTTCTCTCTGGTTCCCTGTTATATACGGCATCATTTTCTCATCTTTGACTTTCAGTTTATTAAACCTCTTTCAGGTTGAGTATATTTCCTATTCAGAGCATCTTAATGGATCCTGCCTCCTAATCTACTCTGCCTGTGTTTCTTTTGTTAGTGTATCAAGGCTATCTATATTAGAGATTATAGCCCACCGTCTCTGCCTCATCTCTGCTATTCCACTTTTCTACTATTATATCTCCACTTTTCTCCTTCATCCCACTGTCTGCCCCATTCATTGAGGCCTCTCTGCCACTATTGCTGGAATCCTGGTATTTTTTTCTCTCTCTCTTGTCCTTGATATTTTTTGAGGGGTTGGATTGGTGGCCATGAACTCCCACAGTTCCTCCTTGTCTTGGAAACATCTTATTTTTCCATTAATTTTGAGAGAGACTTTTTCAGGATACATCAGTCTGGGTTGGAGGTTATTTTCTGAGGGCCTGGACTATTTCCCCCTTCTCGATTTGATAGTTTGTGTTGATACGTCTGTCATTATTTTGATGACTTTTCCTTTGTAGGTGATCTGCTTCGTTTCTCTGGCCACTTTTAATATTCTGTTCTTGTGGTGGATTTCTGGGATCTTGATTATTATATGTGTGGGTGTAGATCTGTTTTGGTTGTAGCTGGCTGGAGTTCTGTATGCCTCATTTATCTGGATATTATTTCTTTTTCCTATGCTTTGGAAGTTTCCCTTAATTATTTCTATGAATAGCCTTTGTAATTCATTTGTGGTTACTCCTGCTTCTTCACTCACGTTTTTTATTCTTAAGTTATAGATTCTCTTGTTGTCTTCTAGCCTTTGAGTTGTTACTTCCTGGTTCCTTGTTATTTTTAATAGATCTTTTCTTTCATGATCATACGTTGTAAGTCTCTCTTCAAGTTTCAAAAGGTTAACTTTAGTTTCTGTCAAGGCATTTTGCCAGCTTTGAATGGAGTTTTTTTTTTAATTTTATTTAAGGAGAAAAGAAAAAAAAGCAGGGAAAGGGTAGAAGTTATACAGATTTACAGAAAAAAATGAACAGTAGGAAATCACTAGTTAATGGATTACATATTGTCATCTTAGAAATAATTGTTCAAGTCACAAAATTAAAGCTTGTAAAGTGGACATTCCATCAATGATACTGCAAACAGTTCTGTTCATTGATCCAATAAAACTCTGTGATATCATTTTCTATCTTATACACTTAAATATACCTGCAGTTCTGAATGGAGTTTTTAATTTCCTGATAATCTCTTTGGATCTGTTTCATGTATTCTAGATTTGTTTATATTCTTCACCAAAGGTTTCTTTTCCTTTTCTGGGTTCCTCCATTCTTCCATTGTGTCTTCTTGAGAGGGGTTTAGCATTTCTTTTATTAATCTTTTTATATCTTGCCTCACTTGGATTAGAATTTCAGTTTTAAGTTTGCCTATGAGGTCATAAAAGTATTTCTTTATGTCCGCGGATGCTGTGACTGATATTGCATGATTGCTGCACTGGATCTCTTCTGTACTTACTTCCCCTGGACTTATTTTCCCAGGGTCAGCAGCTGGAGGTTTTTTATTGTTTCTTTCTCTTGTCATGTTTCTGGTTTCTTTCAGACAGGTGTGTGGTGGAGGTCTCAGGCCCTCTCTTTATTGCTTAGGGTCTTTCTGAAGTGTGCTGGCTGGGGTTTTGCTGCCCTCTCCAGTTTGCTGTTATCTGAGGTGCATGCAGGGACTGTGTGCTAACTGCTTTTCTCTGAGCCAGTCAACCAGCAGGTGCCTTCAGCAACTTAGACTGTGTTGTGGCAGAAGTCACAAGGTCAGGACAGTTTTGTCCCTGGCTATTGGGTCCCAACCAGGGGCAAGACTCAGCCCAAGCTGATCTCACCAGTTCTCTCTGAGCCAGGGGTGGCTGACTGATACCACCACTGCACCGGACTCTGCCTCATTCCAAGATGTCTTCCAGCCGGCCTCATGTGCAATGGGACCCAGTTTCCTGCACTCACCAAAATTAATGTAGCTCTCCACCTTGGCTCTATTCCTCGTTGTGCCGTGTCCTCCAGCTGAGGGCCTGGTACTCACCAACTCCCATTATCGGAGGCTGTGGCTTCAGTGCAACCTTGAATCATCTGACTCCATAGCACACCCAGCATAGCATGGGACGGGTGTCAGTGAGTGTGTTGGCTCCAGCCCTCCACCCGCGTTTTTCCTTCCTCTTCCTATTTTTCTTTTTCCTTCAGTTTCCTCCTGGGGTCATGAGAACTCCTCACCACTCATCTGGCCCTCTCCATGTTGTCAAATTCCAGTGTCTGAGCTGTTTTTTCCCAGAGAGGCTCTCCACCCAGCTATGTATCAAGCAGCCATCTTCTGGTCTCCCTCCTTTTAGTTGTTCTTGACCTATGTTTTAAGGCCTTTGGGACTGGTGGCTAGTTGGTAAGCAGGTAGCTTATTCATAGTTAGTACTGAGTTGGTAAGGGTATGTACGTGTGTATATCTGTTATACTCCATAATGACCCCAGAGTGAGTAATGTAGTGACCCTAGAGTGAACACACACACACGTACGTATATGTTCATGCATAAGAGTAAGTACATACTGTCTTAAAGTTAATCACTCCCCCATTTGCTTCTACTATATTTTATTGCAAGTGGTAGTGGCTTATCATTTGTGCACCTGGCTTTCTCTCTGGGTCCTCCCTGTCAGCTCTTTTTGTTGTCTCTTGGTACGAGTCCCAAGGCTATTTGGTGTTTTCTTTTTATCTGGGTTTCCTCTCATTTCTACCCACATCCTTGACCTGTTTCCCAGGGAAATTTCTCTGGTAAAATTTATTTTTAACTCTTTCTAGTAAGGATTAACTAGAAGACCTAATGAGGTTCCTATTTATTTTTTTCACCCACAGACCCCTGACCCTCCAAGAAGTTCTGGACAAGGCTACTTATAGCCATCTGCATAGTTTTCTCAGTGTCTGACATGCCATCAATATATACTACCTGCATATTTTGGCATAAAGAACTTCCCTTGCCCCTTTCTCCCCACTTCCTCTGACGCCTCTCATTGTTTTTGAAATGTGTTTACTCTAAGAGTTAATATAGTCAGGCATTATCCATCACATTTTACAATAAAAAATGCAATGGGTCATGAAGACACGTGGAAGTTGCAAGCTTGAATGAGCAACGGAAGATGGTTTGTTGGGTTGTCTGGGAGAATTATAGGATTCTAAGCTTGCATAGCCTCATATGGAATAAGAGGAATCATTTTGCTAACTCAAGGTCATCTAGGATCATTTTTGCTTTTGAGGTATCAAAGTAGGGTCTGTTCAGGCCCTTCAGAAAATCTCATACTATCTGTTCCTGTCTTCAGTGGGGCAAAGACAAGGTGCTCACTAATGTCTGGGTTTGCCTACATGGTTGAGTGTGAGCAAACCAGCCCTGGGACCATTTCCAAAAAATCCCTGTGATCATTCAAGCATGGCCTCTTAAGCTCAGGAGCAACACAACAGGCAAGAGTCTGCCTAGGACAGCGCAGCACAAGAGTTTCTTGGAATGAAGTTTCCAAGCCTGCTCTTACTCATCAACTGGTCTCAGACAAATTCTTTCCCCATTTTGGACCTCAGTTTTCCTATCTGTGCACTTATAGGATCTAGAGAATTCTCTTTAAGGCTCCTCTGCACACACTTTTTGTCTCTTTCTGGATTGTGTTTAACTCCTGCCACTCTTCTCCCACACAGGCACCTTCCTCTCCAGCGCCTCATCTTCTCCTGGAGGAACCTAACGTTGTGGATGCTTGTTTCCCTCTCTTTGGAGCAGACTTCTGCATCATATGGCAAGAGAAGCCAAAGTGGGTTTAGAAAAGTTGTAGCTATTCTTGGTTGGAGGTGTTCTTGGGACTGAGCATTAGATGCAAGGCAAGGGTGTCAGTTGAGACCACCATTATTGTGGGTTGAGGGCCACAGAAAGCTATTCATCCTTACTACCTTGGGCACTCCAAGACCTTCCCTTGCATGTTACTCCCAAAGTAGTTCCCTAGTTTTTTCACTATGTGTCTTTCAGGTTCAGTTTTTAAAGAATTTACAGATCACTAAGCATGAGTGTGAGAGAGGATCTGTGCTTAAGAAACTGGTACAATAGTTGAGCAGAGAGATGAGATGTGTTCAGGTATAGATCTAATGGAGAGTTGGTAAAGAGGGAGAGATGATGGGGTTTGGGAGAGGATAGAAATTTAAATGAGGAATTCAAGAGATACAGTTGATGAAAATCCATGATAGACAAGATCCTGGGGTGTCAGAGAAGGGAGAAATAATCTCTGGAGTCTAGCAATAGACTGAAACTATTTTTAAACATTTTTTTTAATTTTAAAAAGAATAAAATAAAACAAAACAAAACAGAACAAAGAAAATCATAACAGAACAATGCAAGCAATACAGTACTTCACAAGACAACAGAACATCAACAGTGGATACCATAATGTCTCTTGTTTTCTTTGAAATAGTTGACCATACCTTTACATACAATAATAGCAAATATAACACAATAGTATAAAACCATTCAAAAGGATGAAATCATTATAGAACTTCAAAACCAGATAATAGGAAATGAACAATGGCTACTAGAGTATCTCATTTTTCTCAAAAAAGTTGTCCATACCATCACACATAATAAATCAAATAAAACACAACCAGATAGAACCAATCAAAACAGAAGAACAAAAGCATGGTAAGACTTCAAAACAAGATGATAGGAAATCAGCAATGACTCTCATAATGTCTTGTTTTCTTCAGAGTATCTGTTTATACCATCACACATAATAAAATAAAGCAAAACAGAATAAATGCAATCAAATGAATGAACAAAAGCATTATAAGACTTCAAAGCAATATAATAGGAAACCACGATTATCATAATATATCTCTGTATATTCAATATAGCTGCCCCTACCATCAGACAGAGTAAAATCTAACAAAACGAGAAAGGTCAAAGCCAAACCTAACAAAATTGTGAAAACAATGTTAGAGTTCAAGATAAGACAATAAGAAATTACCAGCAGTTTCCACTTTTCCCTTCCAGGTGTTTCCTCCTTTTACTCTTACATTAACTATTTTGCTTTTGGATTCCATTAACTCCTTCTGTTTCATATGCTAGGAATCACGCATATGAGTTCAAACTATTTCACCCACGAACATGATCTCCAATTGGGTCCACTTACCTATAGGAGCCTTGAGATTATTCTACTTTATAGCTGGGTAGCTTTCCACTGAAAACATCATATCTTTTTTATCCCTTCTGTGGTTGATGGGAAAGTCACTTTTGCTTTTTTTCTGGCCTTCTGTCACCAGACTGAAACTATTGAAATCAAATATCAAGATGGTGAACATAGCGAGAAGAGGTACTATTTTGTTATGGGGAGATGCTAGTTCCATTTTCAACATGTTAGGCCAGAGGTGGTCATAGGTACCTGAATGTTTTGTTTTCTTAAGCAGTTGGAAATAAAAGTCTTCAGCTTGGTATAGGGAATGGGTGTGACAGGAGCATGAGAATCACAGTCAGTATAGTGGGAATGAATGAGATCTCCCAGGAAGTGTTTGGGCTCCACAATCCCAAGGTTTCCCTTTGGATTTCTCTTTACTTCTTGACCCTATTTGATTTGCACAAACCTTGAGGACTGGTTCCAAGCAGTAGTTTACACCTTGCTGCCTAGCTGCCTTCTTCAGGATCACCCAAGACACTTTTGAAAAATTAACAGCCTCTGGCCTTACTTTCTAGACAATCTGACTCAGTTCAGGTATATATTTTTTTAAAGATTCATAGATAATTTCAATATAAACACCACATGGAAACCTACATATTCTTCATAGCTTTGAGCCATATTTGGAGGATGCATTAAGGGTGGTGTGAACAGTAAAAAGTATATAGTTGCAAAACACTAAAAGTCTCTGAAGCCAATCAGTAGGCAAAAGTTGGGTTTCTGAAGTGAGTTCTGGATTGTAAATCCCAGAGTTAACCCTAATTCACTTTATTCTCCTGTCTGACCTCAATGTTTTAAACCCATGAGATCAGAAGTTTGGTGCTAATGATAAATATGGTCATCCCAATTCTAAAGTCCTATGATTCCAAGAGTGAGTATTAGCCAAAAAACTTCCATTTCTCTGATTAGATTCCACTGGAAGGATGCTCAGTTTAGAGCTGTGCAGCACTGTATTAGCTATTGGTTGCTGTAGGTCAAATTATCTGTAGGTCAGGAGTCTGGCATCATGCATTTGTTTCTGCTCAGATTCACATCAGGATGAGACCTAAGAGTCAGTTGGGTACAGTTCTCATTTGGGACCCAATAGCATTGTCCAAGTTTACTGATTGTTAGTATAGTAATTGCCTTACAATTTTAAGACTGAGGCTTCTATTTTCTTACTATCATCTCCAAGAAGCCACTCTCCCTTCTTTGCACATAACCTCTACCATGTTCAAAGCTGCCAACAGCAGGTCGCAATCTGAATGTCTCTGATCTCTTTTCTACTGACCAGAAGAACATTCTGCTTATAAAGGGCCCAAATGATTTGATCTGGTTCACTCAAATAATCTCTGTATTGTAAGATCAACAGATTTTGGACTTTACATTTTCAAAATCCCTTCACAACAATGCCTAGGTTAATGTTTGACTCAAGTAGATGACAGGAATCTTGGGGATACGATATTAGAATTCTTTTCACTGCAATACTGAAATTGGGAAGCCATATTGAAAATGGCAGGAGGAACCCATACCTGCCAAACTCATGCAATGTTCCAGGCACTGTGAGGAGAGGATTATGATCACTATCCTACTTAGTTCTTTTTTACTTTAAAGAGAATAAAACCCAGCAAAACAGAATAAATGCAATCAAAACAAAGCAGTGAAAGTGGTACAAAACTTCAAAACAGAATAATAGGAAATCAACAATGGCTACCACAATATATGTTGCCATCTTCACAATAGTTGTCCATACCATCAGACATAGTAAAATCAAACAAAACAAAACAGAATAAAACCAATAAAAACATAATCCTGAATAAAACAAAACAATAAATTGGAACAAAACAAAATAGTGAGAACAATACATTATTATCTTCAAAATGGTTGTTCAGGTTACCAGATACAGGGATAAAACAAAACAGTAAAATGGAACAAAATACTGGATTTCAAAAATACAGCAGGAGGAATCCCCCACAGTTGCCACAAAGCACACTGTGGTCCTCCAGGTAGATGCCCTGATCACCAGTCCCAGGGCTACAAAGTCAACGGAACAATACAAGAATTGAGCTATTCCCTTCCCCTCGGTTGCTGTCATCTCATCCTGGGTTCTTTGAATCAGTGGAGATGGGGTGGGAGGGGAATGAAATTCTGGTTTTACAGCCCACACACCAGTTGGCTCAGGGAAGGTATGGTTTTTCTTCTGGCTGAGGTTCTTACCCATCAGCATGGTGAAGCCTGTTCATGGGAAAGCATTGTTTTTGTTTTGTTTTTTTTTTTCTGGCTGAGACTTTTTCTGATTTGCATGGTGCAGCCTGCTTCATGGTAAGGCTTGGTTTCTCTTCTGGTTGAGGCTTTTTCCAATCAGCACAGTGGAGCCTGCTTTGTAGGGAGGTGTAGTTTCTCTTCTGGCTGAGGCTCTTTCTAATCAGCATGATGGGGCTTGCTTTACAGGAAGGCATGGCTTCTTTTCTGACTGGGGCTCTTTCCGATCTGCATGAAGGAATCTGCTTCACGAGAACCTTCTATCTTACTTAGTTCTTATGAGCAACCTTAAACCATTCTCATTTAACAGATGGGAAACTTATGACTTAGACAAAGGAAAATACTTTCCGCAGTTTATTTAGCTAGTTACTCTGGGAGCCAGGCTGCCAAGCCAGAGCTGACTGGTAATGGTGCTCCTTCCATTCTTCCATTTTTTTCTCTTAGAGGTAAATCACACAACTGAACTCAGATTTGTCTTGAGTTCAGAAGGTGCAGGGTTCTGGCCTCCTATTTCCATGATGTTTCCACTACTCTTTACCAATTTCTCCTATTAACTAAGATTCTAGAGGCAGAGTACTTAAGTGTCAAAATATTAGGTTTCCAGTAGACAGAGAAGCTCTTTAATTTAACATAGGGGTCTTGGTCCTTACATAACCCCTTGATGTGGAATCCAAGTAATTTTTATCTGGGCACAAATTCTGGATTCAGATTCATCTAAGTGGGCCATGAGTGGTGAGAATGATGTGACCGCTAAATATAAGCAGAGCAAGGGCTGAGAATTGAAGGTAAAGGATAGGATGGAGAGATTTTCACTGGTTTGCCATGGGAGAGGGACTGAAACTCTAACCAAATATGAGTTTGGGCATTGTTTTTTCTTGCAGGGAAACCAGGAATGTGTCCCCAAAACAGATTTAACTGTAGCACTAAATTTCTGGGCTTGTGCAAAACGGATTATGACTGCAGTGATTCCCTGAAGTGCTGCTTTTTCGCCTGTGAGAACAGATGCATGGACCCATACCAAGGTAGAGGCACCAGGCTGAGGATGGAGGTGACATCTGAGGTTTACCTCTTCTTTCTCTGTCCAGCCTTGGCTGAATATTTCTTTCTCTCTTTTTTTTTTTTGTACCAGAGATCAAACTGACAACTGTGCACTTGCAAGGCAGATATTTGTGCCACTGAGCTAAATCCCTGGCCCCTAAATATTTCTCTTGAATGGCAGGACCCAGAGGCCAGAGCCCATGATGTTTTTATTCTCTAATTTAACTTTCCATGATCAAGTAAAAACCCTATGTCAGGCTCAGTGAATATAAAATAGATAATATGGATGCTAGTTTCTTTGGTCCAACATTGAATCGCTCACAAAAAATGAATGCTTTTTGCATTCTCACTGTGTGTCAAGAGATGATTGTGGTTGCTAAAATCAAACCTCAGTCAACTTAGAGAGAGGCTGGAGTCATTTCCGTACTCTTGGTCCTTAAGAAGGTTTTCTGATAACAGTAAGTATTAGGTATCTCATATGTATAAGGAACTGTGCATTTTATAGGGATCCATTCACTTATTTATTCATTCAACAACTAGCTATTGTCAGTGTCCTTTAGCTAAAGGCTCTCAGGGACACACCTGCCCTGAGAGGTGGACAGGTTGAGCTTATGACTCATTCTGCCATGATGGAGGCAGAATATTCCACATAGAGAACCGTGAGGCAGCCCAGAATGAAGCTGTTGGAATCCATTAAAGGACTCAGCTTTGAGTAATTTGGGAAAGGGTCTGAAGTCGTGGGGTTTGTCTTAGAGTAGATACTCTGTTAGAAAAAAAAAAAACAATCCTACAGCCCAGCGTTTCAGTGAATCTGACTTACAGAGAGTGTACAGAGTGAGGCGAAGCTAAATTGGTAGAGAGACCTGCCACTGGTATCAGCTGGAAGGGGAGGCTCTTGGTAGTTTTGAGTTTCATTATCATCGTGCTTTTGTCTCACTTTATCGTAGTCTTACTGTGGCCTTATGCAGTGTGGACATTCTGTGAAAGATTTTATGCTCAACAGGGGAACAACCTGGTTTAGCTGTGTCAGATGAGTTTTCAGACATCAAGGGCTGCTTTTTTTGTACCGGGGTGCTCTGTTAGGGGCTTTGGACATAGTTGCTGAACAAGCCCTTTTTTATTGATGCTCAAATCAGTGGAGAAGAAAAGCCATCTTCAAAGTCTTTGCAAATCCTCTTGTAATACTCTTTGCAAGAAAAGAGGGATGCCCAGAGGTGCTATACAATATGAAATGGTAGTAGAGCTAGGATTAGAAGCTATGCCTTTTTTTACTGGCTTTTTCAATGGTTTGGACAATAGTACCATGAACTGTGACAAAGGCTGACTCTCTCTTTTCATCTTCATTCTTGTTATCTCTTTGCTTCTTGATCTCAGAACCCTGCATGTTACCATTAAAAACAGGAAACTGTCAGGAGAATTTGGATCGCTGGTATTTTGACCTTGAACAATATCGATGCCAACCCCTTACATACAGTGGCTGCAATGGAAATGCCAATAACTTCTTCAGCCAGGATGACTGCCAGATGGCCTGCCTGTCAGTTGGTAAGATTCGTATTCCTGCTAGTTTAAGGGCCTCATTTAACTTGAAATAGACAGTATGGTTATAATCTCAGCATTTGAGGTTAAACCTTCTTGGTTCAAGCTGTAGCTCTGCCATTCGGGAACTGGGATATCTTGGGCCAGCTGCCTTTCTTCAGGAGTTTCAATTTTCCCTATAGAATGGACGTAATAGTCAGGTGTGGTGGCAGTGCCTGAACTCTGGGATGCTGAGGGATGAGGACTGCAAAATCGAGCCAGTGTGACCCTTTCTCAAAACTCAAAAAATAAAAAAAGGTTGAGGATACAGCACAGTATAAAAGCCTTGGAGTTGGACTTTTTAAATTCCCCCCCCCCTACTGAAAACAACAATAGCAGCAACTGGAGGGATAATAATGGTGTTTACCTAATCAAGTTCTGTCAAAAACTTGAGATGTTGCACTTAGAATGTTAATAAATTTCTGTAGTCGGTGGGACCTGGGAGCTAGGTGTTTCCTCGGCACATCAACCTGTTGACACCACCCTGAGGACTCACCAAAGGCTAAACACAGGCAGTCCAGCTCTGCAGTCCAGGAGTAAGTGTAGACACTGTGATGGCAAATATGGTGGGATGAGAGTGAGGATGATGGGTTTGTTCTTCCGTGGAAAGCTGCCATCTTCTCCCTTGGGTTACTAAAACAGCCTACCAAAGGCCTCCCCACGTCTATCTTTGCCTTCCTTTCATGGTCCATTATCAGCATCATCAGCGTAATGAATATTTCAAAACATGAGTCAAGTCGGTCACTCTTCTACGGAGAATCCTGTAACAGCCTCTTATATTAGTCAGTCAAATGGATTACAGTGATTTGCATATATTTCACATAATTATCCCTATTTTATACAGCACAAAACTGAAGTCACATTCTAAGTGACAGGCCTGGGACTTTGCATTGGAACTTCAGGCAGCAAGTCCAGCATTTTTTCTCACCGTATCACAGGATACGGTGAGACACTTTACCCCACCACAGTCTCCTGGAGACGCATGGGGTAGGGGGAGTCACACTGCATCAAGAGATTCTAGCTGTAAACAGAAAGGAAATCTGTTTGAAGGATGGTGGAGTGGGACGGGGTTTGAAGGAGTTTACGTCTGCTCTTGTTTTAGTGAGGGAAGGACAATGCCCACTCTTCCCCTCCTATGCTCGATCAGAGTGTCCACCTTCATGTAAGAGTGACGTCGATTGCTTTAAGAAGGAAAAATGTTGTGAAAGCAGTTGTGGCTTTGTTTGTGCCGAGGCCCGGACAGGTAAGGACTAGGGATGGCTTTCCAGTGTCTACTGGGCAAATGCCGGGGACGTGAGGGCGTCCCATAGAATGGACAGATGGAGATAATTTGAATCTCAGCTGTCCCTTGGGTTGACCTTTGAGGTATCTTGGGAAACTTTCCTCTTTTAATGCCTAATCAGTGCCCTAATGTTGATTTCTTAACCTTTGGGTAATAATGCTGTCCTTCAAAACCAATTATGTGTGGTATCACTCCATTCTTCCCCAAGAAAAATTATTTGTTCTGAATCCTATTCTTTAATGACATGCAAAATGACAAGGTCTACTGTTTCATAAACACAAATTCATAGCAATTAGGTATATCTCTAATAATTCACATTCTATAACATGATGGTGAAAAGACGACTGGCAAATGGTTTTCATACAGAATACAACTCTCCAGCTTCTCGGGCTGGAGTTATAAATCCCTTACGCAGTCCCAGGCACTTGTCAGCACTGTAAGGTACAGCACAGTATGTGACATGATTAAAGGCTTTTCAGCTGGCTGCAACTCTTCGCCTGGCTGTCTGTGTAGTTTTGGGCAATGTAGTTTCCCCAGATGATCCTCAATTTCCACAATTTACCAGATAAGGAAACTTTGGGTGTTCTCTAATACCCTTCTACCTCTGGTGTTCTGGGGTTATATAATCCCAATCCATGATTCTGTAGTGGCAGGCAGGAATCCTGTTGAGTTTCTGTATCTGGGATGGAAGAGGTGGTTGTTTGTTTGTTTGTTGATACTCCTTAATTTGTTAGCCATGGAGAGTTGCTACTCAAGCTCCTTTGGTTCTGTTGTTACTATAGGGAAAGGAAAGAGGCTTAATCAGAATAAGGCTCTGTTTGAGTTTCCCAAGACTCCCCAAATCTGTCTCAATTATTTAAAAGACAAGTGTTTTACTCTACCTCATAAAGTCAAAGCAGGAGTTTGCCCTGAGGTCAAGAACTGTCACAGGATTAGAAAACCCCGATGCCTGGAGGATGCTGATTGTCCACTTACGAAGAAATGCTGCCCATCTTGTGGGCTGAGATGTGTCCAACCCTAGAGTCAAATAGTAAGTGAAAAATACTATCGTAAAAGTCACTGAGTGGCATAAAAAGCTGTCAGTTTTATGTATGTTATATTTAACTACCTTACCAAATTATTTTTCTAATTATGCAAATATTAATGGGATTATTGTGATTTTATATATAATGTAAGTGATAATAAATTTGAGTCTTCTTTTTTCCAGCCACTCAACTGCTTCCTTATCTTTTTCTATTTTTTAGAACTTCTGTAACAATGTTGAAAATAAAGACAATAAGCACTGGAGTATACATCAGTGGTAAAGCATGTGGTTAGCATGTGTGTGGCCCTGGTTTCAACCCCAACACCAAAAAATTAAAATTAAAAACAAAGGCAATACTATCAATTCCTGTTTTGTTTCTTATTTAAAAGTCAATGGATCTTGATGAACAAAAAATATATTGTTGGATTTGGAATAATTTTTATTGCATTGGTTATTTCCTTAACTGCTCCTAAAAATGAATGCTAAATTCAATCAAGTATCTTTTAAGTGTCTAGTAACATAGGGACTTATTGTTGACACAATAACTCGTATTATTAAATGTCATATGTTAAACATCTTAGATTTTCAGGATAACCTTCATCTATTTGTTATTAATACACTATGGATCTTTTGGTAAATAGTTTATTTAGAATTTGTAACATGTATAGTAGAAAAATTAGTCCATGTTTTTGTCAGTGTTGTTCTTTGGGTCATAACACTTTAAAAATTAGCATGAGAAACTAAGTGGGATAGTTTCTTTTTCTATGATCTGAAATTATAAGATAATACATAAATTTTTGTTCTTTGAAGTCTATACAAAATTCCATTCTGAAGCATCTAAATCAGGTTCCTTTTATAGTTATTTACTTCAGCAATTTTTAAATATTTCATCCTTTTAACGTTTTTTATTTTATGAAGGATTAATATTGGATTTTTTTTATCAGTACTGGGGACTGAACTCACGACCACTTGCTTGCGGTACTTATGCCGCTGAGCTAAATCCCCAGCCCCAACATTTTTTATTTTAAAAAGCAAAACAAAAAAGATAAAAATGATGCAGGATTTCAAAAAAACAGTAGGAAATTAACACTAGTTAATATGTCGCATATTGTTATTTTAGAAGCAGTTGTTCAGGTTATAAGATCTAGGCACAAAAATGATCAATCATACAATCACAGCATAAACTGTTCTTTTTGGTAAACTAACAGAGATTAATAGTATAGTTATCTATCTTGCATACATTTACATACATATATATTTATATATGTTTAACGATATACATATAATCTTTTCCTTTCTTCCTTTTCTCCTTTCCCCTACCCAAGTTGTTCTTTCCTTTTGAGCAATTTCTTTCCCTTTCATTATTACAATATCTGTTGTACATTTTGGATCTTATTACTCTTTCAGTTTCTTATTTTTTATTATTTTTTATACTAGAGAGACAATACAATATTTGCAAATGCAAGTTTGATACTTATAAGTGTAATGTCTAGTTGTCTCCATTTATCTATAAAAGCCTCAATATTATTATTTTGATAGCTGAGTAATATTCCATTTTATAAAAATACCACATCTTTTTCATCCATTCTGTAGTTGATGGGCATTTTGATTGTTTCCAAGATTTAGCTATCACAAATTGCGCTGCTATAAACGTAGGTGCACATATATCACTGTGGCATAATGTTTTCAATTTTTCTGGGAAAATGCGCAGAAGGGGAATAGCTGGATTGAATGGGACATCCAATCTTAGGTTTTTGAGGAATCTCCACACTGATTTCCACAGGGGCTGCACCAGTCTATACTCCTACCAGCAGTGGAGAAGTGTTCCCTCTCCCCCAGCCTCCCCAATTTGTTATTGGTTGATTTCTTGATGGCAGCCATTCTCTCTGGAGTGAGATGGAATCTCAATGCTGTCTTAATTTGCATTTCTCTGATGTTGAATATTTCTTCATGTATTTTTTGTAATTTGTATTTCTTCATCTGAGAAGTGCATGTTGATCATGGATGTCTATTTTTGGATTGGGTCTTTGAAGTTGGGGGGCCTGATGCTTTTCAATTATTTATATGTTCTAGATATGTCTTTTGTCTTAGGGGCTGATGTCTAAAATTCTTTCCCATTCCGTGAGTTTTCTTTTCACTCTGTGGGTGATTTCTTTTGAAGTGCAAATACTTGTTGATAAGATGAGATCCCAGTTGTTGATTCTTTGAAGTACTTGATGTGTGATTTGCATTTTGTTCATGAACTATTTGCCTACCCTTATGTCTTCAAGATTTCTACCTACCTTGTTTTCCAGTACATTTAGTGTTTCTATTTTAATATTTATATATTTGATCCATTTTGACTTTAGTTTAACACGTGGTGATAAACATAGATCTAGTTTCAGTCTTTGACATGTGGAAAACCTGTTTTTCCAGCACCATTTATTAAAGAGCTAAACATGTTCTTTCTTCCAGTGAACATGTTTAGCCCCTTTGTCAAATATAAGGTGGCTGAGTGTCTTTGTAATTATGTCTGCATCTTCTAATCTGTTCTGTTGATCCTCAGGTGTGATTTTTTTTTTTTGCCAGTACCATGTTGATTTTATCACTGTAGCTTTGTAGCATAATTTCAAGTAAGGGATTATGATGCCCCCTGCCTTGCCTTTGTTGCCCAGGATTGCCTTTGCTATTCTAGGTTTCTTCTGTTTCCAAATGAATTTTAGGAATGTTGTTTTCTAAATATGTAAGGTATGTTAATGGTATTTTGATTGGGATTGCATTAAATCTGTAAAGCAGTTTTGGGAGTATGGCCATTTTCACAATGTTTGTTCTTCCTAACCAAGAGCAAGGAATATACTTCCATCTTCTGACATCCTTTTGAATCTCGTTTTTTAGAGTACTATAGTTTTTAACATACAGGTTTTTTCTATCCTTTGTTAGGTTGATTCCTAAGTATTTCATTGTTTTGGATGCTATTGTGAAGGGTGTTGTTTCCATAATGTCTCTCTCAGGGAGTTTGTTGTTTGTGTGCAGGATAAATATTTCACTTTATAGTCTGTGTAAGTTCACTACCTCTTCCTCTGTGAATTTTGGTCTTTTCTGATTTCCTAAAATTGATCAATTTTCTCTAAATTTTTAAATATAGTATTGTGTAGCAGTAGAAATTATTCTCTACACAGTTTTTATATCTTTAACTTAATTAATATTTTAATTCATACAACCATATTTCTAGACACTTGTCTACCCATCAGCTGAAGGTACTCAATCTCTATTTGCCTGCTCCTCTGCTGACGTATCTTTCAACTTACCTGTTTGCCCATGGTCCATTCACTCTCTTATTGATATACTTACTTTCTTATCAGTTTTCTACTTTGTATAACCTTTAATCCACCAACATATTACATTATTTGCCTTTCTGTCTTTCATGACACAGTCTTCCCCACATATCAGCATACTTATCCATCATTTCTCCGTTCATCTCTTCTCCATTCACCCACCATCCCAGGTATCCACTGTCCAATCAAAACAGCTTCCATCAATAGACCTGTGCATCCCATCATTCTCCATTAGTGTTTGAATCTTAAATATCCCCAGCTGGTAGGGTTATTGGGAGATGGTGGAAATTTTGGGAATTAGAGGAAGTAGGTCATTGGGGTGTGCCCTTGAAGAGTATATTGACTATAGCCTCTTCTCTCTCTTTCTTAGACATAATGAAGAAACTAGTTTTGGTTCACCATGTGCACTCTGCCACGATGTTTTGCTTGGCCACATACTCAAAACAATGGGACAAAGTAACAATGAGCTGAAATTACTGAAACCATGAAACAAAATAAAACTTTCTTCCTTATAAGCTGAGTATCTCTGGTATTTTTCACAGCAACAGAAAACTGGCACACTATATTCAACCCAATGTACTTCATCTTGTCATTCAGCTAGCTATCGGTAATCCATGCATTCATGCACACAAGCATCCATGCTTGCCTCACCTCTTTCTGGTCATCCAACCATTCATCACTCTACCAGCCACCTATCCATTCATATATCTGCTCATCTATCCACACGCCCACCAATCCCTCCATCTACCTTGCTCATCCAGCAGCATATAGTATTTATTTTGGGCCTTTTCATGTCCTGAGCACTAGCTTCTAGATATGTTTAATGGGTTTCAGAATCTATTTGGGATAATAAATATGTAATCCATCAATTCAGTTATAAGCACTTGGATCAACACAAAAAGCCAATGGCAGGAAATCAGCCCATGTAACAGGTCTTGGTCTAATAAGCAGGCAGGCATTTAGAGGCACAAACTAGTATGTCTTGGTTTTCTTTGGAACCTCATTCTCAGTACATAACTTGTTCTAAACGGAAGTAGGCCTGAGACAGAGGAAGGACCATGACCTTCAATGAGAGTAGATAAAGAAAATAGAGACATAGGTGGGTCCTTATCTAGCTTTCTCCAAGAAATTAGATATTAAAAAGGGACAAAATCATGATTCTTCTGAGGCCTCAAAGACACTGTCTGCCTTCTTAGATAGTGAGACTCACAGAAATAAGTCTGGAAATTAGACAAGACCCATGTGACAGAAAAACTAGATAGCATTTTAGTTTATTTTCAAGAAACATTAGAGAAGAATGCAGCTTTAATTGGAAGCCCTGAAACCATTTGTCAATGGATCACCTGAATCTTCAGCCTTGGTGTGAAAGACGTGTCCTTCATTTCCTTTGGACTCAAGAACCCCTCTCTATCTTCCAATCCACAATAAACTGTTATATCTGTGCCAATTAAAAGATCCCTTAATGGCCTCTGGCAAGAATTTAGACGCCCAGCTCCCTTTTATTGCTGATGCTGGGCGACATTTAGTCAGTGCTCCTACTTCTCTGAGCCTTATGATCCCTGTCTATAAAATAAAGTCTTGACATTTGGTAGTTCCTCAGAGCACTTCCGCCTAGACATTCCAGGTTTTCACTCTTTCCTGGACTGAATTTAGGAGAATATAGAAGTAGATGAAGAAGGACAGGCTTGCTTAGGACATCTTGGCTATCCTTTAGAAATTCTGTTCACTAGATTCTGTGGGCTATTCCCCATTGATGAGATGAGATTCTGGGGCTTTGTCTCTGATCCTAAATTGTGGTACCATATACAAAGTATAATTGAAAAATATGGTTAATGTTTATATTTTAAAATTTTAGTACAGTAAGAGATGTATTGCCATTAATCCTCCTCAGAATACTTTCCCTCACATGGAATTCACTTACCCTATTTTCCTTGCTGTTTCCTGAAGCCGTCCTGGAAGTCCTCATTTGTGTTTTCCCTTGTGTTGTCATGGCTGCCTTGATGTCTTGCATCAACTCAAAACATTTAGCTTTCATTGTCATTTCTGACTTTGGAAAAGAGCTAGAAGCCCCACAGTTGCGGATCCAGTGGAGCAGATGGGTGAGGATCCAGTGTGGTGTTTTTATAAGCCTGCCTGTCTGTTGGATCACACGTGGCAGCAATTCACTGTATTTTTATCATACCGAGGAGTAAAGACACTCATGAAAGGGGACTTTCATAACTGCTTCAGAAAGTGGTAAGAATGATAGGATAAATGTGTTTGAAGTAAAGTATTCTGAGAGGGATTAACAGTAATGTAGCTTTTATTATAATCATTTCAAAAGATGTAAACATTCACCTTATATTTCAATCACTTAGCTACTCACTGATGACAGGCTGGCTTTGTCTAGCTTCTATCTGTCATTTAAAAGAATTTAGAGTGTGTCCAGGAGCACCATAAAGCAACACGAAAGAAAATGGGAACTCTAAGCTGAAATTTACTCTTTGAAGAGAGAGTGTCTTGCCCTGTACCAGCACCGAGGGGCTGGTGTTTGTATTTGTGGCTGTAAGAAAGCTGCCCAAGTCCTGCAGCCCCTTTCTATTAGCCCAGCTAGAATCCAGCAACGTCGCTGTGATTTGAAGTTGACTAGGCCGCAGTCTTTGAGACAGGTTTCTTCCCTGTAGTTTCTCCTTAGACAATAAGGAGCTGGTATCAGATGGTAGAGGTTCCCAGCATGCTAGCGCTTACATACTCTCCTGCCCTTGAACCACATTGTAGCACACACTATCCGAAGGCTCTGCTATCGGCCTGATTTCTTCCAACACCCTACTCTGTGGCAACCTCTTTACTCTTTGGCTTCAGTCAAGGAACTGAGTGACTCAAAGAGAAGATAAAAGGGACAACAGTGGGAAGAAACCGTGGGAGAGGGAAAAGGAACACGGGGACTGTGGGAGACCTACAGGCAAGGAGAAAAAAATAAAGGCACAGTGAGGCCAAACAAACAGAGATACCAAGAGATTAATTGAGATGCTGTCAGAGACAAGCGAAAGCTGCGTGCTAGTTTTTGTGCGTGGAAAATGGAAAATGAATGAGACAGACATCTCACAACTCTCTAAGTTATCAAGATGCAGACCTGAGAGAGAGGCAGTCACACATAAGGGAGCCTGGAAAGTGTGAAACTTTTCTCCCTTCCCATGTGACCAGGAGGCCTGGCCCAGTGCAGCCAGCGGATTACTGATTGTCCTAGAGAGATCCTCCTCCCTGAGGTGTGGGCTGTGGATGCTAGGTAGTCTGATTTGTGAACTCAGGAATGTGGTGTTCCCTCCAAGAAAGGGGGTGGCTGGCTTTTTGCCCGTTCTCATATCCGAGGTTCTGGCTACTGAAGGAAGAGGCTGGGTCAAAGCAGCCAGACATTTCCATGTTCTGGAACGGCCAGACAGGCCAGCTCCCCTTGGAATGGAATCTGTTGGTGCTCTGACCATCTTCATGCTATTCATCCTCTTTGTGAATGTCCAAGAAACTGACCACCGACCCCCTTCCCGTAAGTACTGACCTTTCACTCTTGCCTACAAGAAGGAAGTTTGCTAGGAGGAAAGGAACAAAGAACAATTCCACAAATCTGAGTCACTTTCCTCCATCTTAGCCCTTGCCTTGGGCTGGGAGAGAGGAAGTCAGATCCATTCTGTGGATTTAGAAATCCATACCTGGGCAATCCTTTCTCTCAGCCTCTTTGAGTGTAGGCTCTTCTTTGAGGAGGTGAAGAATTCACAGAATTTAGCATTTATAAGGGGAAATCTATTGAAATCTGGGAAGACTAAGGGTTCTTCCTGGCAACCCACCAGAAAGACAGACTCCTTTCTTGTGACATTATGTTTAGCTTCTGGTTCTTTCAAATGTAGCCCTATGAAGAGCCTCTGTATCACCAGGGCTTTCTTGACTTTGGAATAAAGCTAATCTCAATTAGTCTTTTAAAATGCAAGACACTAATAATTCATTGCTATATAGTAATAATGATAACAATAACAACTTTTTATGATACTGGAGATTAAACCCAGGGCCTTTTCAGGGCTAAATCTCTAACCCATTTTTAGTTTGTATTTTGAGACAGGGTCTCAGAAAGTCACTAAATTGCCCAGGCTGGACTTGAACTTATAATTCTCCTACCTCAGCCTCCCAGAATGCTGGGATTTCAGGCCTGTATCACCAGGCTTGCCTACAAGCGATAGTTTTTAGCATTTGTTGGGTGCTCAGAAAATAGAGATTTCTGAGTAAAGTTTTAAAAAAAATAAACAGGGTTCTGAGTCAGACTCAGTGGTTTGACTCCTGCTGGCCATGCACCATAGGGAAATTATTTAAATTCTATGTGTTCCAGGTTCCTCATCTGTAAAATTAGAGCTATTAATAGAATTTACTTCATAGATCTGTGATGGAAATTAAGTGAGATAATGCATGGCTTACAGTACGTACTTAACAAATGCTGGTTAACACAACTGTGCCTCAGTTATTATGACCAGAGTTCTATGGCCTTTGTCTCATTTTTTTCCTCACAAATCTGTAGGGCCAAAATGATTTTACAAATGAAGAAACCATATTTCAGAGAGGGCAAGTGCAAGACCAGTGTGAGAATTCAGAACCTGAACTGACTAATACACTAAGGATCACTGTATAATGTCCCCTCCTGGAGGACCTCACAAACCCTGGCTCACTGGCAAGGCCAAGAGAACCGTATCAGCCCCCACCAGTGACTGAGCAGTGAGCAATTTACCTCAGAGGGCATTTGCAATGACTGAAGACATTTTTATTGTCTTTAGGGGAGGGGAATGCCACTGGTTTATCAAGGGTTAAAGGGGAGGGATGCTGCTCGGTGTCCCATGGTGCAGTGCATGGTGCATGGCAGTGTCTGCTCCCAGCAAAGATTTATCCAGACCAAATGTCACTAGAGGTATTGAAATTTTACCCCAGAGGGGCCAAGGCTGCAAGTGGGTCAAGGGGTGGCCTAAGAAGGTTGAGAGTGAGAGTGTGTGGGAGGGGAGATGGTGTGGGCATTATAAGAGGGCATTGTAGGAAAAGTTCAAGAGGTGAATAACATGTTCAGAAACCTCCATGACTCACTGGGATTGAGTCTAGAAAAGGATGGACATCTTCCCTTCAAGGCTCATGACTGTAAGACTCTTTCTTCCTTAGGCAAATGCCCCAGAATCCGGGAAAAATGTGAATTCAGAGAAAGGGACCAGTGCACCAGGGACAGTGAGTGCCTGGACAATCAGAAGTGCTGTGTCTTCAGCTGTGGAAGAAAATGTTTCGACCTCCAAGAAGGTAATATTCTGAGCCTCCACAACACAGCCTCGCTGCTCAGGCCCTCTGATTCTGCCCACCAGGGTAGCACTGATCCCTGGGTCACTCAGGGCTGGTCTTGGGCAAGATTGCTGGATTTGGGAGACCTCTGCCCCTAACATGGTGTGTCACATGAGTAATGTTCTTATCCCTTGGGTAACGGCCGGGTCCCAGTTTTACCAAACAAATGATGGGTAGAAAAGTAGGATTGAAGTGGATGGTTTCTTGACTACTTTTCACTCTGATGGTTTCCTGTCAGCCCGGTGGTCATTATTGTCCTAACATATACCAACATTGCTGGCTGCAGGTGATAGATCAAGCAATCATCTTTCCTGGCTTTCTGCTCTTGAGCTGCTTCCTCCCTGACTATCCAGATTCAACTTTCTGTCAGGAAAAGCTCCTTTGACCACTCCAGAATAGAAAAGTGTCCTTTGCTGCTGTGGTCTTAACTCCATACTCATCTATCTGGGTTCCAAAAAGACTCAAAAATTCTGCATTCATTTGATAACTATTTATTTGTGCCTCTGAGACCCATTATATTAATCTATTTTGCATCTCTGTATTGCAATACCAGAGGAAGGCTAATTTTGTAAAGAAAAGAGTTTTATTTAACTGAGAGTTTTGGAGGACTGAGTCTAAATACTATGGTATGGTCTCTGGCAAGTACCCCATGGCAGTTGGTGGATTGTATGGGGAGGGGGAGATCACAGTCCACAGAAGCTGAAAGGGAAATTGAAGTCCCAAAGTCCTTCCTGAGGGCATAGCTAAGCTGACCTAAGGGTTTGTCACTAGGTATCAGCTCTTAAAGGCACTGCCACCTCTGGATACTACAACCCTGGGGCCAAAACCTCCCAGTGTGAGCCTCAGCTGGGTGACACACTGAAACCATATCCAAATGATAGCATCCACGTTAGGACTTGACCTGCACACTGTGGTATGGGAAGGTGGAAAAAGCATCTCTAGAAAGCAAGTCTGGAGTGGAATTCAGAATGAAGGGGAATGTTTAAGACAAAAAGAGGGTGGGAACAACATACACAAAGGTTCCAAGTAGTGAGGCCAGAACACAGAGGGGAGCGAGGCTTGGTACGAGGAGAAATAGCCTAGACCGGAAAGCATCAAACACAGTGGGCCACAGTAGAGAGCCTCACACTGATCCTGGAATCGTAGAGATCCACCAAATTGGGGGAAGTGAAACAATCAAATTTATACTCACCTGCAGAGTATGACAGGGAAACAGGAGCAATGACACTCTACGATGAAGTAAGGTGGTAGTTTTAATTTAATTTTACCTGGGGATAAGGAAGAATGGGATGTCTGAAAGGTAACTACGAGGTAGACACCCAGGATCTGTCAAAGGAGGAGAGTGGGCAGGCAAGAGGCTCATGGGCCATTTGTATGCCTGCAGGTGAGGGATTCTGAGCCCAGACTTCCTGAGTTCAAACTTGAGCTTCAGTTTTTGCCAGCTGTTTTATCTTGAACAAATTTACAAATTTCCTTTGCTGTGCTTTACTTTCTTCAGAGAATAAAGTAATCAGTGCCAAAGATTTGAGGACCAAATAAATTGGTGTTCATGAAGTACTTTGAGCGATGTTTGAAACATAGTAGCCACCTGATTACCTATCAACTTCATTTGTCTTTCTTGTCGTGGAGCTTCTAAATAGCAGAGACCATGCCTCTTCTTCATCTGTTAAAGCCTTTAGTTCATAGTAGGCGTTAAGGGAATGATTTCTTCAGTTCAGATTAGGATATCTTTTGTTTACCCTCACCATAAGACTATGGTGACAAGTCAATATAAAATCAAATGCAATCACTCCTTGCTAGAGATAACTAGAAAATGAGATCAAAGATAGACAAAAAAGGTCCGTGCACGCACAGGGTTAAGAAGCAAGACAGGGAAATGCAGGGTTGATTCAGGCATATTTAGTGGTATTGGATGTAGAATGGAGTCAGGAAACACATCATGGAGGAGTTGATAGTCTGAAAAAGATTTTAAAGGCAGAACAGGAGGGTCACTAATGAACTGAGCAATAGTGGGTACATGGCAGTGCAAAGGTATGGAGGCGTGTGATCACATGATGTGGTCAGCTTTTCCAGAGCATGAAACTTCAAAGACATGAGGCTACAGACATGAGTAGGAGCCAGAGGATGAAGGGCCTTGTGGGTCACGGGAGAACTTTGCCATGGAGCTAAGGTAGGTATTATCAGTAGAGTAGCATGATTGGCTTCTTTTCAGATGCATCAGGATCTCCTCCCTAGGGCACTGCATGATGGATGGATTAGAGGGGCCAACACTGGAGCAGGAGGATCAATTAGGTGCTAATTCAACAGCCCAGGTGTGAGATGCTGAGACTAAAATTAAAGGGACTGGCAGAGAGGTGAGCTATTAGAAGGCCGAAACCAACAAGACTTAATTGTTTAGCTGCAGAGACTTCACTGATCTTATTTTAACTGGGACACACATTGGTTTTTTAAGGTTGCTAGAACAAAGTACTATGGCTTGGTGGTTTAAAACTAATGTGTTGTCCTACAGTTCCCCTGGCTCAAAGTCTGAAATTAATGTGTAGCAGAGTTCATTCCTTCTCAGGATTATGAGGGAGAAACCTGTTCCACACCTCTCTATTAACTTCTGGTGGACAGTTAACAATCTTTGCTGTTTCTTGGATTGTAGATGCATCACTCTTATCTCTGCCTTCATGCTCATGTGGCATTCTCCCTGCATGTGTGTCTTTCCAAATCTGCCCTTTTCATAAAGACGCTAGTCATACTGGATTAGGGACCCACCCACTTAAATATGATAGCGCCTTAGCAAGTTATGCAGCAACAAGCCAATTTCCAGGTATGCAGACACCTGTTATGGGTGAGTGTCTCCTTGCAAATACCTGCGTATGTTCAGGGATCTGGCTCCTGCAGTGTGAAAGGGAAAGAAAGCCTGTTCCAGGTCGTTTAGACTGGTTTCTAGAGATAACATTAAAAGCTTTTTGCTCTGGAGTAAACACTGAACTCTCAGCCCTGTGGTCTTTCTGCAGATGTATGCAGTCTGCCAAAAGAAACGGGTTTCTGCATGGCCTTTTTCCGTCGGTGGTGGTATAATGAGAAAAATAATACCTGTGACATGTTCATCTATGGTGGTTGCCAGGGAAACAATAACAACTTCCAAACTGAATCCATGTGCGAGAACTTCTGCAAAAGAAAAGTAAGTCTTGGGGCCCCAGTCTTCTATGTTAACCAGAACCATGCTAAAGAGATTTGGGTCTTGGCTGGTCCATTCCAGGGTAGCCATTTCCTGGGCTGATCCACAGCTACAGCACCAGCTTGAACCAGGAAGTAAGAATTTGCTTTGCAGAAGGGAGACAGTGACTTTTTGGGAACTGAGGTTGGGAAGGGATGTGGAGATGAAGCAAGGCTAACAAGGAGGGTGGAGTAAGGATGCAAAAGTGACAAAATCTCAGAGACCCCCCAGAATGTCCAGCCTTGTACTGGGAACGGTGGCCAATCAACTACTCCAGGTCATCAAATTCCTTGTCACAGCTCTTTTGTAGCAATCCAGCCTCACTCAGTTTTCCTTCAAAGAACCTCACAGCCCCCCTACACAAACCCACTTTAAATCTCATCCTACAAAAATATGTATAAACATAACTTCAAAAGCTGGTTTAATCTTGTACCTCCACCCTCAACAGAGTCACTTCGCTCAAGGATAAGGACACAGTGAAACAACCTCTGGGATTGGGCTCCTGCTCCAGGCTCTGCATGCATCTGACTGAGGCTCCAAGTGGGCGTCCCCTGTCCCAGTCCCAGCGCTCCAAGAAGAGTTCGGCTTTTCTCAACAGTGAACCCTAGGACCTGCCTCCCTTTCCTCCACGCCCACCTCTTTTCATGCATGGTATCTTCTGTTTGGATCTCATCTCTGTGTATGCTCACCCTGGCATCTCCATCTTCCAGAGTTCCTTGGTTATCCCTCTGAAGCTCCTATTTTTTTTTCAATAAACTGCTTGATTTAGTATTATGACTTCAGGGCTGAGTAATTCATTTCTGTTTCATATATTATACTTTGCAGAAAATAGGAATTATTGATGCTTTCAGCGACACCATTCAGTAGAATGAGGGCAATTTGAACTTTGAGAGTTGAGCACTCTAGAGATGTTATTAAACATCTTATATGAGAAACATCTCTGTTTCTTTAAAACACGGTGAAGCTCTTGAGGCAGGGGTCCATGAATGTTGCTTTAGTTTGGATGAACTATAAACTGACCTTGGGACAGGATCCTGGGTTCAAGTAGTTTATATGGGAGACACCCCAAGAAGCACATGGCAGGGAGTGGGTAAGTGATTCCAGGAAGGGAAAGGAGTCAATTAGGAATTATCAGTGTGAGAAACTGCAGCGCAGTCTTGCTGGTCACCCTCAAAGGAGCCATGTGAACCATGTCAAACAGTCCTCCAAGATTTTATCTGATTTCAGTGACAAGGAAGCTGAAGTATTGATACAATGCATCCCCTTCCACTGGATGTCTGGGGCATTAAACTCCTCACTCTACCAGACTGTTCCACGTGTAATCTGAGAAAGTTCCCAGAGAGCCAGAGAAACCTCACAGTAGAGAAGGGAGGACCCTGCCACTAGTGTCGGGGCGGGGGGCGTGGCTTGCAAGGTTCCCTAGATTTACTCAACTGACACATGTTATGCTGCTAACATGATGCTAAATGAAAGAAGCCAGGCATAAATGGGCACGTACTGTACTATATGACGCTATTTACATAAACTGTTCAGAACAGGTAAATCTAGAGATGCAGATAATACAATTACTGGCTGTGTGGAGCTGAAGTAGGAGGAAGGAAGCTAGAGAGTGACTGCTGATGGGTGCGGGGTTTTTATCTGGAAGGATAAGAAATGTTTTAGAATTTATAGCTGTGGTGGTTACAACAACCTGGCGAATGTGCTAAAAATGTCAGTGAATTATTTACCTTAAAATGGCTGATGTGATGTGATATAAATTCTATCTTAGCTTTTAAAAAACAGGTTTAAAAGTGTCCTCTGGAATTATCTTTTGCAGCTTCAGGTGTAATTGAAGTGAGTGGAGAGCATCTTAGAAGGTGACGTAGCTGTTCCTACCACGGTCTGTTCCCTGCATGGCTCGATTAACTCACACTGATGTTACATCTACTCTGTCACTATGTTTTAAGACTTAAATGGGTGAAACAATTCAAGGAAAATTTTCAAGTCCTCTCATGCAGCTGGTTTGAAGATATAACTGAGATTATTTCACTACTGTGGTGCCTATTCTAAACTGTGCCTGAAAATAGAGGCTCTCAAATCTAGTTATCTTTCCTGCTTTCAAAGTAGTGTGACCTGCGTAAACACTCTCTGAAGGTTCGATTCAACATGGACTCAATTGGTTTCCTTCCATGCCCCACTAATTATCCTAAATTTCCCTTTGACAATGGCAAAAAAAGGGGTGGCCCAAAGAGGGCAGGAGAAAGATAAAAGAACAGGAGAGAGAGAGAGAGAGAGAGAGAGAGAGAGAGAGAGAGAGAGAGAGAGAGAGAGAGAGAGAGACAGAGACAGAGAGAGAGAGAGACAGAGAGAGAGAGAGAGAGAGAGAGAGAGAGAGAGAGAGAGAGAGAGAGAGAGAATCTACAGGGTAAAAGATATAGAGAAGCATGAAGAGGAGAGAAAAAACAGCAAAAAAAAAAAAAAAAACAAAATAGAAAAACAGACATGCCAGGAGAAAGGTAAATTCAAGAAGAAAAGAACAGGATACTCTTATTTGCTTCGGTTTAGTTTATCAGGGCACATGTGCGGTACATAATGGTTACATTCCTCTGAGAGCTGGCACAGGTACGTAACACAGTGTAATTCTTTTTTTCATCCACTTTTCTTCCCCTCCCTCTCCCTTCCACCCATCCGTGGATCCTTCTCCTTTCTTCTTTGTATATATTTACAGCACACAGTGTCTACATTCCTTGTGTGGAGTTGGTGTATGCACATAGCACACCTCGGTTCCTTTCTTTCCATCCCTTCCCTCCTTTCCTTCCCCCTTCCCACATCTTTTGATCCCCTCTGACAGCAATCTGCCTCCCTATTTCCTATTATTTACATTTTATTTTACTCTTTGTTTTAACTCTGAGTTTCTCATAGAAGAGAAACCATCTGATATTTAAGCTGGTGTGTTTCATTTCACTTAATATTATGGTCTCAAGATAGATCTGTTTTCCTACAACTTACTCAGGCCTTTTCTTTTTTCATGGCAGAGAGTGCTCCACGGTGCTTAAACACCATGTTTATCTAATCCATTCATCTGTTGGTGTTCATATAGCTGCTTCCAAGATTTAAGATTATGAGTTGTGCTGCTATAAATGTGGACATTCATACAGCTCTGTAACATGACGTCTTTAACTCTTAAATTTTTTTTTTTTTTTTGTCTTTTTCTTTTTTATCGGTACCAGGGATCGGACTCACGACCGCCTGCTTGCAAGGCAGGTGCTTAAGCCGCTGAGCTAAATCCCCAGGCCCTACGTCTTTAACTCTTTTGGAAGATACCTAGAGGAGGAATAGCTGGGTGAAATAGAATTTCTAGTTTCAGGTATCTGAGAAATCTCCATACTGATTTCCATAGCAGTTGTACTGGTTTGCATTCCCATCAAAAGTGTAGAAGTGTTCCTTTTTCCCTGCAGTCTTTCTAGAGTTTGTTAGCATTTGATTTCTTGACGATGGCCATTCTTTCTGGGGTGAGAAGAGATCTGTATTGTTTGGTTTTGCATTTCTCTAAAGGCCAGTGAGGTTGAGCATTTCTTCATGTATTTATTGGCTATTTGTAATACTTCTGGGAACTGTCTATTCATTGCGTTTGCCCATTTTTGAGTGAGTTTTTTATTTTAAAAGTCTAATTTTTTCAGTGTCTTTTATATTCTAGATATGAGTCCTCTATCTGAGGAATCACTGGTAAATTTTTTCCTATTCTTTACATTGTCTTTTTACTCTATCACTTGTTTCTTTTGTTGTGCAGAAGCTTTTTAAGTTGATATGACCCCATTTAACAGGGATACTCTTAATCTTCAAACTTTCTCTCTGGAAAAGGATTCTGGAGTTGAAAATCCCTTCTCTAAAGTAATCTGAATACCCAGAACAAGTGTGACCTTCTCCCCTGAAGACCAGAGGAACAGGGAGCCCCAGGTTGTGGAGAAGCAGCCTATCAAAAGCCCCTCCCCCAGGTCAGTACTGCAGGTGCCAGATGGTCCTACTGATGGCCATGGGCCTTGGTGCTCCCCAGCAGAGGAATGTTGCTGGCTTGTCTCCTAGACCTGGGTGGCCAAAGTTCAGAAGCTGGAGGTGCTGAGCAGTGGTGCCTAGTTTTCATGCCACCAGCCAGACCAGTGATTTGTAAAATGGGATTCTTGGGACTTCTGTCATTCCTGATATCATTTGTCCTCCTGAGGGATGTCCAGGAACCTACCCTGGTTGAAGGGCTCATTTTCAGTAAGTAATGGGCACATGGTGTTTGCAATAGAGAGAGATAACTTGATGGGGAGGAAGGAGCAAAGAAGAGTTTCACTGCTTCCTCTGACCTTGGGTGGGTGAGAGGAGATGTGGAATCATTATTTTAGCTCTCTTCCTCCTGGTAAGACAACCTTGGTGAACACAGGAATCTAAGTCTGTAGCAACTGAATATCTGTCACTGTTCCAAGGAATTCTTCCTGGAGGTGCTTGGATCTAGAAACTCATGAAAATGGACTTTGGGATCTGTATAGCCAAAGGGACATTCTCTTAAGGACAAGCCATCCTCAGATGGTCCTTGACTTTGAGGGATAAAAAAAAGGTCTTTCGAACGCTTGGAGTACGGAAATAGGAAAACTCTGTATTTACCAAAAATACGTAAAATGTACTGAACATTTTAAAGGACGTAGTTGAAAGTGAGCACGCAAGAGCCATGCATCATAGGTTCAATTTTGAGTCCCACTCTTTGATAACCTGTGTGACCTCGACACATTCAGATAATTGCACTTTGCTTCAGGCTCCTCTGTTTATTAGACATGGATATTAACAAGACTGAATCATAGATGTGTAATGAGGATTAAGGAGAACTGTCCGGGTTCATAGTAAGCTCTTTATCCATATTGATCATTATTACTATTTTGTCCTAGGCAGCTTTTCAAACTTGTTGCATTAGTGTTCAGAGCAGTGCCTCCTGGGGAAACCTCCAAGCCAGCAAGACCCAGTGACCAGAAGAGTCTTAGAGAAGCTTGTCCTTCTCTGGGAAGCTTACAGGTGATAGGGGTGGGGGGAGGGGTGTATTTAGGGATTAGGTGGTGAGTGGCTGGGGGATGTGGTTAGTGTCATAAGACTCCTGACACCCTTGTTACTACCTTCTGGGCACAGGTGGAGGGAAAACAAGCTCCTCCAACTTCACATCTTTGGGGGAAGGAAGAACAGTGGCCCCTTTAATGTCTGAAGGAAGAATGCTTCTCTTTCCTTAGAGTCCTGTCCCAGAATGAGAGTAAGATGTGAAGTCGAAGAAATAGATCAGTGCACGAGGCATAGTCATTGCCCGGATAAGATGAAGTGCTGCCCGTACCTCTGTGGGAAGAAATGTTTAGATCTCAGAAAAGGTACCTGACAGAACCCCTGGACCCCAATGCCTTGTCCTCCCTCCCCTTCCTACCCTGGCGTTGTCTGTCCCCCCTTCCTGGGTCACCAAGGCTGGTTTCTGATCGAGAATCTCAGTGTATCTTCTACTTGACACAAATCCTGCCAGTGCTGGACTTAGAAGTCACTTCATTTTTGTCCCTATGTGGTGTGAGCAATATACATGTATGTGACGTATGTGATGGGAGAAGTTGAGTTTCTCTGTCTTGAAACTCTGTTTCCCCTTCTAGAAGATAGATATGGGCACTAGATCACTGGTCTCTTGACTACTTTTCAGTGACCTTCTGCATGCCAAGAAGCCACTAAAGTCCCAATGGTCACCAAGATTGTGCCAGGTTATGCGATAATAAGAGACAGGTGTACGAGGCCTCTCTATCTATATAAATCCGGGGTACCTTCCCTGAATCCTTCAAATCATATACTCTTTACTGCCTGCTTGTATCATTGAGCTCTAAGGAAGAATATCAAAGACTTTCCATTCACTTCTCATTCAACAAATATTGTATTTATTGGTGTCCCTGACCCCTGGGATGGGTTTCACTTGCTCATTGTGATCAGGAAGAACAGAAAAGTTTTGCCTGGGCAGTAAAAGCTTTGTGATTTGTGACCTGAAAGATGGACAGCATGCAGAAAGCATGCAGGGAATAATCTTTCAGAGACAGGGAGCAGCAGGTAGAAAGGTCCCTGTGGTGTGAAGCAGCAGGATCAGGCCTAAAAAGACCAGAAGGCAGAGACAGAATAAACAGGGTAAGAGATGAGGAAGCTGAAACTGGAATAGACAGGAGGGTACAGGGTTCTGGTTCTTGTCCTAAGAGCAACACATTATCTATATGTAAGTCCCTAAGCATCTATGTGACCTCAGAGAAGCTACTCACCATCTCTAAGTCTCATTTTACTCATCTGCATAGCGAGAAACCTGAGAGGGTCTACCACAAAAGATTGAATGTCGGCATATGTCAAATGCTAAGAATAGTGACTGATTTACCTTCATAAAATTGTTGTTTTTTTGTGCTTCAGATCATGAGGTACTAAATGACTTGATTTTTTATTTAGCACTCTGGCGAAATAGTTCTTCACTGAATGCTTTTTACATTCAGGATGTATATTTTTTTTCACTAAGAACACTCCTGAAATATCCATGCTGAGCCAAATTACCTGCTAGAAATTGCTGTAGCAAGATGACATAGGACATAATTTCTTCCTTTGAAAACTCATACCCCATAGAGGAGTGAGAAAGAATGAACCCATTACACAGAAGTGATAGATGAGTGTGCAAGTGATAAATGTGAATTACAAAAGTGATAAACATGCACAATTGAAGCACAATAAAGGAAAGCTAGAGGGAAAGGAATGGATCCAGGAAAGACATCATCACAAAAGAGTGGACAACTGGGAAGGATTTTAGTTAGCAAGAAATGTGGGGACATTTAGATATGTGCAAAAGCAGGTAGATGGGTTAAGTACATGGTAGTTTTATAGCACAAGTTGAAAGTGAGAGTCTTAAGAGCAGCAAGAGAAATAAAGCTGGAAAGAAGGAAGAAATGGAGTTAGGAATTCTTCTAGATGAAATTTTATCTTGAGCCTGGTGATCAGTTATATTGAGCCCAATGTGGAGTAGACTGAAGAAGTCTGGGAGATCCATTGGTATCCGGTCTTGGTGGGCTTGGGAAAGACAATGCTGCTTAGATTTTAAAGGTGGCAAAAAGAGAAAGGAAGAAAGAAAGAAAAGAACAAAAGAAAGAAAGAAAGAAGAAAAACTAAACAGAAAAATGTGATTTAGTTGTTCAGAGTTGGGGAAGCCCAATAAAAGGGGCCATATGGTATTGTCACATCTGCTTCTTACAACAGGCCTTAAGACAAACAGGCTAGTATTTCGTATTCTTGTCTTACAGACAAAGAAGTTAAGAATCACTGGTGTTAAAGTGGGTAGCCAAATACGCCTCTCAGCAGAGACAGAGAGCAGTGGTCAGAGGAAGGGAGGGGCAGATACTCCGGGGAGATGGGCATTCAAACAGCTCTGCACTGTGACCTCCCTGCAGATATGTGCAGTATGCCAATGGACACTGGCCCCTGCTTGGCCTACCTTCCCCGCTGGTGGTATAATAAAGAAACCGACCTCTGTTCCAGATTCATCTATGGTGGTTGCAATGGGAACAATAACAACTTCCCATCTGAAGCCATCTGCAAGGTCATCTGCAAAAAAGTATGTAAGTCCCAAACTCCCGTGCTTATCAGGGTCACACAAAAATTTGGACATTGGTCCATTCCAAGACCTAGTGGGCCTAAAGTTGACGGAAACGGCTCCAATCAGGATATAAGAATGCACTTTGCTGAGCTGTAAGTATGAGGACATTTTGGGAAAGAGAGGATAGGAAGGGAGGCAATGAGCAAAGGGTATGTGGTGAGTAGGGGGTGCAGGCCAAACCAAAGACTCATCTCACGTTGATTTCCATTTCCTGCTGAAAGATGTCAATATGATCTCTTCTTTTCCATTATCTGTAAGAGGTGGTTCCTAAGGTGACCTGGATCCAAATATCTCACCTTTTCTTCTGCTATCTTGCAGATACTAGGATACACTAAGGAGGAGCTGGAACAGCCTTCAGAATTTGGCTCACAATCTGAGGCTACCTCTACGTATGCCTGACCAGTGCTCCGTGTGGCTTTCACTGGTCAAATTTCAGCCACTGAGACTTTGACTGTTCCAAAAACAGCTGCAGGATTGGCTTCCTCTCGTTGATCCAGCTTATCTTCTCTACTAACTTGGTATCCTTCACCTTTAACCCTTTCTCAGTGTGATTCCCTGTTTCTCTAACTTTCAGGAAGCCCATTTATTCCCATAATGTCTACAGCTTCACCTAATAAAGTATTCTGATATTTCTGAGTCTGAATAATTTGCATCCACAGTATGTAGAGAGTCACATCTAGTCACATCTCTACATGCAGTTTTCACAGAGTAAGAGGTCACTGGATTTTCCAGTAACAACAAAAGAAGGAGGAGTAAGAATGTCATAAAAATTGAGAACTCTGGTGACACTGTTCCCTAGAAAATATATTTTGAGGTGTTTAAGGACAGGGCCAGTGTACACAGGTTTTGTATGATCTAAACCTTATCAATTAGGAATTTATTTAAAGGTTGAATACAGATGAAAGGTGAAAAACAATATTATTTCCATTAAGCAAAGAAATCACAACCAATTACAAATTTTAAAAAACTGTCAAATATCACAACTTTCTTGTTTTACTTTATTTTATTTTTTATTTTAAAGAGAATAAAACAAAACAGAACATAGCAGATCAGAACAAAATAATGCAAGGAACCCAGGATCTCAAAACAAAACAACAGGAAATCAACAGTGGCCACTGTAACGTCTCTTATTTTCTTCAAAATAGTTGTCCACATCTTCACACACAATGAATTCAAACAAAATGAAATAGTATAAAACCAATCAAAACAAAAGAATGAAAGCATTGCAGGCCTTCAAAACCAGACAACAGGAAAGTCAACAATGGCTACCATAATGCCTCTTATTATCTTCAAAATAGCTGTCCATACCTTCACCCATATTGAAATCAAGTAATAGAAAACAATATTTCACTTTATTTTAAAGAGAATAAATCCAAGCCCAATAAAACATAACAAAGCCAATCAAAACAAACCAGCATAAGTGACACAATACTTCAAAACAATACAAAATCAACAATGGTTATCATAATGTCTCTTGTTGTCTTCAAAATATCTGCCTAAGTTTGAGACCATACTCGTAAGTGAAATAAATCAATCTCACATGTGTGAATACCGAATAGTTTCCCTAATGTAAGAAATGATTCACATATATAAAAGTATGTGGTAATCATGATTCCCCATTATGTGGCCTTGAAGCCTTATAAAGTTTCCACTTATTAATTGGAATGGCTTTATTCTGGGCTGCTTGATACTATTGCCTGTGATGAAATGAACAGCTATTTTGAAGAAAACAAGTCATCATAATAGCTAGTGCTGATTTACTATCATCTTGTTTTGAAGCCCCACCAAACTATGGCTCTTCTGTCTCCATTGGTTTTATCATGATGTATCTTGCTGGATTTTATTATATGTGATAGTATAAACAAAAATTGTTATAGGCAAAGAGATAATATAGAAACCATTGTTCGTTTTCTGTTAGCTGGTTCTAAATACCCTACAATGCTTTCATCCACTTGAATGGTTTTACACTGACTTGATATGTTTGTAGCTATAGTATATGAAGTTATATTCAAATATTTCAAGGAAAAAGACACTATGGTAACTACTATTAAGTCGGGTTATTTGGTGGTGAAGCACTAGGTTGCTGAAACTGTCATGCTTTGACCTGCATTGGTATGTTATTATGTCCTCTTTTATCTCAATCTTTCCCTTATTCATTAAAAAATTAGTTATTTTTTATGATTTTTTTAATTAAGGGGAAAAATAAAAAAAATTAGCAGGATATATTATAGCAACTTTTTATTTCCTATTAACTTGATTTTAAGTCCTGTAATACTCCCGCTATCTTGTTTTGACTGATTAGACTCTGTTCCATTCTGTATGATAGTATCAAGTTTGAAGGTATAGGCAACTACTTTGAAGGCAATAAGATTCACTATGATACTCATTCTGGTTTGACTATTATCTTCTTTTGAAGTCTTGTAATGTTTACAATGTTTAGGTTTTATTGGTCTTGTTCTCTACTGTTTTGTTCAACTTTATAGTACCTAATGAGATAGACAATTCTTTTTAAGGAAGCAAGAGGCATTATGGTAACCATTGTTGATAACCTTGTACTCTGTTTTTACATGATATGCTATGTCTCTCCTTGGTTTTGACTGACAGCTTTGTTTTGCCATATTTGACTTTATTCTCTTCCAAAAAAAAGTAATAAGAACTATGGAGTAATAAAACCCAAAATGTGTAAATTTTGTTGTAAAAAAGAGAGGGAAAAAAGTGCTCTAAAGGATACAACTGCAAGTGTGTTTAGGGGTGTTAAATAAATGACCATATTAATGTTTTTGGTTGGATCATTGAACACAACTGTTTGCAGTCTCACTGTTTGAATGTCCACTTTGTACATTTTGATCCTGTGACTTGAGCAACTATCTCTAAGATGATAATGTGTAATCTATTAACTGTTGATTTCTTATTTTTCCTTACACTGTTTTGTTTTGCTTTGTTTTTTCTCTTTTTCCTTTTAAATAAAATTAAAAAAAAAACAAAATAGCTGCCTATACCTTCAGACATAGTAAAAATTAAACAAAACAGAACATAATAAATAAAATAAAACAATGAATGCAATAAAAAGACTTCAAAACAAGACAATAGTAAATCCAAAATGGCTACCATAATATATCTTGCCATCTTCAAAATAGCTGCCCATGCCATTGGATACAACAAAATCAAACAAAACAAAACAGAATAAAACCCAATCCAATGAAACAGTGAAAAGGCACAGGACTTCAAAATAAGAAAATAGGGAATTAACAATGGTCACCACCTTCAGCAAAAGATCCCCTATAGATGCCACACTGCATGCTGTGATCATCTGAATAGATGACCAGACCCCCAGCCTAGACCTGCAAAGTCAGAGAAACACCAAACACACAGGCATCAAATTGCATTTCACCTCACTAGCTATCATGCCAACTTGTGTTTCTCTGGATGAATTGGTTGCCTACAGTGTGTGCATTGGGGAGTGGCTCTTCCTTGTTTCCCAGCCCCGGGGCCAGAAGGGGCTGGGGTCTGGCTGTTCCCCAGAGGCAGTGGCCCACACATCGCGCTGGCTTGCAGGGAGGGCTTGCTTCTTGGTGACTTCTTGTGCACTTCTACAGGCTATGAATGGTGCTGACTCACAAGAAAAGGCGAAGGTCTGTCTGTCCCCCATATTCTTTTTTAAAAAATATTTTATTTAAAGAAGGACTGAACAAAACAGAAAATGGGTAAAAATAATACATATATTCAGAGAAAAATAAACAGTAAGAAATCACTAGTTAATGTTTACATACTGTCCTTTTACAAATAGTTGTTCAAGATACAGAAGTGGAACATATAAAGTGGGAATTCAAACAGCAAGACTGCAATCAGTTCTGTTCAACTGTCCAAAAAAACTTAGAAATATGGTTGTCAATTCTATACACTTAAACATACATGCAGTTATCCATATCTTCATTTATGTTTAGATTAAACAAACTAAAGGAGGCTAAAATCATTCTGAACAAAGAATAATAGTATTGCTGGATTTCACATCTCGACACTTGGGGATCAGCACTGGGTACTGTAGTGTCTTTTTAAAAAAATTTTATTTAAAGAAAGACTAAACAAAACAGATAACAGGTAGAAATAATACATACTTTCAAAGAAAAAATGAACAGTAAGAAATCACTAGCTGATGATTAAAGATTGTCCTCTTACAAATAGTTATTCAAGATACTAAAGTAGAGCATATAAAGTGGGGATTCAAACAGTGAGACTGCAAACAGTTCTGCTCAACTATCCAACAAAAACTTGGAAATATGGTTATCAATCCTATACACTTAAACATACATGCAGTTATCCATATCTTCAATTCTGTTGAGATTGAACAAACCCAAGTAGGTTAATATCACTCTGAGCAAAGAATAATCCTATTGCTGGGTTTCACAGTATGACACTCCAGGATCAGCACTGGGTACTTTAGTGTCTCTTTTTCTTCAAAGTATCTGTTCATTTCATCATGTGTCATAAGATCAGTTCTCATAAACTATTTATAGATTCTACACATGCATGAGTCTTAGCATGTATTTCTATCCTTTCTATATTAGAGGGAGAGACAAAACAAAGCAAAACAAAACAAAACATTCCTATAAACACTTGAAATGAAAAAGACATATAAGACTGTTGTACAAGGAGTTCTACCATAGTTCCTGTGTTGTCTCTTGTTATCTTCAATAGAATTGACTGTATCATCAGACATAGTATAATTCAATATATCAGTACATAACAGTATTAATAAAAATAGAACTTTGCATATAGTATAAAACTTCAAAAGCAGGCAGTTATCAAACCAGAATGTGTATCATACAGTCTTGTCTTCTTCAGTGTATTTGCCTATACTGTCAGACTCGATACTAACAATCATATCAGTTTTGAATAAAATCTGGTGATACCAAACAGCAATCAAACAAACCAGATTTAACTAAGATCAGTCATGATAAAATAGTATAAAGCATACTGGGCTCCAGATTAAGATAATAGGAAATTAAAGATGATTACTGTGCTATATCCTGATGTTTTTGGGATAGCTTTCTGTGCTCTCAAATATAATGCAAGTAGACAAACTGGGACAGAATAAAAACTATCAAAAAAAGAATAAAATCTATCTAAGCAGAGTGGTGCGAGTAATGTGGGTTTTAAATCCTGATACACTATTAACAATATGTTCTGTCATCTTTTTTGAGATTCTCCCTCCCCTTTCACTTCCCCAGGGTACACTGTGCATTTTTGAGTCTCACCAAGACCTTTGGTTTTAAATTGAGGGGGAGACAACCTGCTCTTTACCTAAGTGGTTCCGAACATTCTCTCTCTTGGACTTGATCTCTAATTGTATTCCTTTACCTATTAAAGCCTGTCTTTCCAACCTATCCACAATAGGTTCT